TTGCTGTGCATTTAATAATTTTGTGAATAATTTATCAAACAATACATTTGATTGGCCATGCCTTGGCATTATTTTAGAACACATTTTACTGACTGATACGAATTTCAGTTCGTATCCTGCAGAAATTCATACTTTCTACAGAAAATTTTCGATTATGACGCAACAGTGTAGAAATTTTCTTATTTCTGTGAGCTTATTGTATGAAACTTATTCTATCTTGTAATCACAATAATGTATAAACATTTTAAGATTATGTGGAAATAAACTCTTCCGCTAGCTGCAAAAGAAGTTTTTTTTTTAAATTTAATTGCATAAACGAGAGGAAAAAATAACAAACCCACTTGTCGGCTGTTCCCGAAAATTATGGAGATGTCAAGATACTAACGGACTTCTGACGGTTCTGAATAATTAATGTTTTAGTACACCGCAACACGATATGATATACCTATCCGTTTACCGACATCCTCCTGTCTAGCTAACCGATATCTATGTGTCCTAATAGAATAATATTTTCCGTTACAAAATAAAAACTGTTATGAGTTTCTGGCAAGCTATCATATATACGAGTATCTTGTTCTGTATAATATTTAAAATTAAACTTCCTTATTGGGGTACCACAGTTACTTGCCAAGTCCGGCACTGGCGCGGGGTATTTGATTAAACGATAGATCCGGATAGTATGAGGACACCGCAGTACTACAACAATGATAAGGGGTCCTAGAGAGCGCTTTTAATACGCTACGTTGGTCTGCGGTGTATCTCTGTACGTCTTCTGTACGTATACTACAGTTGAGTGGCTTGAATTCCTTTGACTAGCTTGTTTTTATTATGTTACGTATTCGGAATTCACTGGTTTGGAACGGTCCAAAATGGAATCAAATGTGTTCAAAAAATTAAATGGGATAATTATAGTAAAAATTTATTATCAATCCTAATGATGATTATTCATATACATACTTATGACTTATAATTATAGATTTGCAGGCTTTCTTGTAGTAATTGGTTATCTAAAGCACTTGAAGGTATCAATGCAAATAGTATCTTTTAATATTACTTAGGTGTAAAAGGTATTGAGGTTCATATGGTGTCGAATAAGTATTTAATTATGTTGTTATTAAACTATTCTATACAAACTTTATGATATCATTTGTATTATAAAATATTTGTTTCGTAACAATTAAACAAATCAAATGGAGAAATTTCAAGAGAATTATTGCTCGATTTGGACCATCCATTTGAGTCTCCATTCTGTCTTCATCCATTCTGCAATGTTCTGTTTCGATAGTAACTAAAGTTACTAATGCTTTAAGGGTTCCCAGGAGCTGGCAGACTGGTGTGAGAGTGCCAGTCTGCAATACACTGTTCCTGTAATAGGTGGTGCCATTGATACTCCGGGGAACCACACATCGAGGCAGCGCACAATCACTATTTACACTCCCGTCATGCATTAGGGGGACCTCATTCCTCATAGTGTATAACTGGTTTTTACTGGGTAGAGCCCTGCTCATTTCCCCGAGTCTCTGGGCTGGATGAAACGAGCAGAAAATACTTTTGTATTGATAATTTTTTTATGTATGGGATATACATAAAAAAAAAAATCAAAACAAGTAGGGGGCCTCATTACTGGGACTATTTATATTGTTTATATTATTTGAAGTGTTTAATCGTCTGCTTTGAATATCAATTGGTACTAATTGTGACGATTGTTATTTTCAATAAGCCTTTTTAAAATATATTGCAAAGGGAACTGTGTTAATTGAAATACCCAAAATGATGACGAAATTATATTATTGACGTTATTAAAATTACGGTGATGCTGAAGATTGATCACCTATAACAACGTACTAAATTTATTATCATTATGAATGCAATAATGGCAGTTTATAATACTCAGTTGAATGGGAATCTATGAAAAGATTAAATTAACGAGTTGACAATTAAGGAGGCAATTTCAGTTGGCGTTCGGAGTTAATGTCTCGGAATCTTAGTATCATTATATCAAATTAAGACCGGATAACGACAAGGAATGGGGCAAGTTTATTCATAATTCATTCAGTTGTTTATGCGAAATTAATGAACAAAACTTGTCTTACATCATTCACTTCATTAGAGCCGAGTAAAATATATGTGTATGAAAATAAGATCTTTAATCTATTAAAAGAATTAGTAGCGCTGAATAGGGCTTTTTGTGTAGTCCTGCAAAGAGCTGTTTTACGCTTATGGATATATTTTTACTATTTATTTTCTGTCAACATAACGTCTTCTTCAAAATCAGTATTAATAAAGTCTGCTTCAAGAATAAGCAGTGCAACTACCTCAGGACAACGACATCAGCTTCTATGTCCACTAATTTTAAATTTAGAACGACTGTGCGACAGTGTGAACAGTCAACAATCAACTATCTCTATTATATAAAATTCTCGTGTCACGGTGTGCGTAACTACTCCGAAACGGCTCGATTTTCTTGAAATTTTGTATGCATGTTTAGTAGGTGTGAGAATCGGACAACATCTATTTTTCTTCCTCCTAAATATTAAGAGTGTTCCACCCTTAAACTTTTTTTTTGGACAACATTTTTTGTTTTTTTTATGATACCTCATAAAAGATACCTACAACCCTAAATTTTCACCCTTCTACCACCAACACTTATTTTTTAATGGCGGTACGAAGTTCGCTGGGACAGCTAGTCAATCTACATGAATCTATTTTGTTTACACGGAATGGATAAATATTGTACGTTTCTTGAGCGAGAAAATAGCCGATAGTTAGTCGCTTACTCGCCGAGCGGTGAGACGACTGCCTTAATTGTTGGTTCTGGCAGCATTTCTAGTCGTTAGTACACACCAATCCACACTGGGCTCGAGTGGTGGGTCATGACCCATTTTTCTTATTCTTCCTTAAGGAAGGGCTTTGTCTTAGCAGTAGGAACATAAACATGCTGACGATTAATGATTAAATGAAGGTGAATAAGGAGTAGTAACGACATTCAATTAATCTTCATATATGTAATGAATTGAAAAAATAGGAAGAAAATCAGTTGACTCTAATCAATCACGGAGTTTATTACGCACTTTTCTTGAAATGTGTCAGTAAGGGACAGCCCCATTATCTAACGTATTATTGGCTGTCGAAAACAAAACAGTCCGCGTACCTGTGGCATATTCTAACGCTTTTCTAAAACTACTGTGAAATGAAAATGAACAAAGCCTCAAAAGAGTGTCTCATTTGCGATAAATTAAATACAAAACTACATTAAAGAAAAGTGTATTTTCGTCCAGTGGATTTTCTTTTCTATATTTTTTATAATATTTATTAGTCAACGGAGTGAGGAAAGGTGATTCGTGTTGACGCCTTGTCGTGAAACTTTAGAGCGAAAGTGATGGCCGTTTATATTTCACATAAAGGAAAAATCTGTTCACATCAAAATATGGTAAACCCACTTATACTCAAAACCTTAAATTCAATTTACATTTACATTCAAATAAATCTAATAATGGATGATGAACAGCAAAAGTAATAAATAGGTGTCTCAGATATTTGACCAAGTTTTGTTATGGTCTCAGAGCAATCCTAGATAGTAAACATCCAATTCAAAACATACCGTAAGCGTTATTCCTCAATGATAATTATATAATAAAACTTTGAACTGTAAATAGACTTCAAAAATGGTCCTACCACATTTATTCTACATAACATAACACATTTGTCCAAAATCAAGAACAAAGTTTGAAATAATTCAGGTATCCAGCATAGATCTAGCCAATGAATCGAAAAGGAGAGAGAAATATATCTGTAGATCCACAGCTTGAAATCAGCATTTAATGGGAAAATAAATTTTCAGTAGGTCCAACATGGATCTAGCTAATGGATCCACTGAGAATGATCGGAATTTATCCAAAGTGAATCATACATCCAGCCAGATGGACAGAAGGAGAGCAGACACCCGAAAATCAAAATTTTTTTTATACCAAATCAATATCACTTTAAAGCTTTATATTGTTTAAAACTTTCATGGTCACTAACATTATGGTAATTTATGTTATTTACGAGATTGCTACCATGTACCTTGTTATTTGATTGATCACGGATTAAATATTTTGCAGTTGCTCCGTGATCATATCGTTTGCAACCAACAGTGCCGAAATATCGGGGACTCGCATACAACCAAAAAACATGGTAGCAATCCCGTTAATAACATAAATTACTACAACACTAAGCTTTGTTTTATTTCTACCTATTATAAGTCCATACCTGAGTTCCGTAAAGTTATTGACGTTTCTACTTCACAGAGCGGTGCTAGCGAAATAGTAGGGTCCGCCACAAATGTAGCTCACGGTTTCCTGCAAACATTACAACTGCATTACACAATACAGTTTCCTGTAGATACATTAGATGCGCGCACTATTTCTGCATTTGTCCGACGTAGTTCACGTGAATAGGTAGAAGTAGATTTATAGGGACGTGTTTGTAATATTTTGAATTCAGCAATAGTTAAATTTAGTGGCTTAGTTTGTAGAATCATAAGCTCTCTTATCAATACAAATACTTTCGATAAGTATCTAAAGGACATTTTATCATTTATAGAAAAAATCATCACGTCCTAGGTTTCTGGCTGTAAAAATGACAAACAATGACAGACAGACAAACAATCCTTATAAGTAAATATTATTATAAGTCTTGTTTAAAAATATTTGACATAATAATGGTATATACTTAATATGATGAGCTGAAGATTAATAACAACATCATGAAACTTCCCCTAAATTTCTTCTACATAGAGTATAAGAATTTTTCTTTTAAATTTTGTTGACGAAGTAGTCTTATATGCTAATATCAAGCGTATTCGTTTCGTCTTTATTCTTTCACTGGTCCGCCTTTTACTAGTCAAGTCGTTTTCTTTTAGTCTTCGGAAATCGGAAAAAAAACATTTGTTGAATTAGGCATCTCGTATTTATTTCTGCGCCATTGGAAATGCTAATGTTGCTTTTTTTTTTTCGCAGATGACGCATACCGTCGATTCAAAGTCTGGGCGAACTAAAAAGTAACCAACAATGTACATACAATACAATTTCTAAAAACGAATATGGATAAAAACAAGAAAAAAAATCACGCCAATGGAAAGAATAAGAAGAATGGGAAGACAGATAGTTACAAAGTCGACGACGAAATAACAACAACATGCTGCTTTTGCGTCAAAACGAAAAGGAGTAAAAAGAAGACGCTCATAGCAGGATGTATCACAAATCTTGGCATTTTTGTTCTACTGATTGCGTACACTCTAGTTGGTGCTTTCATATTTTTGGCTATAGAAGGAAGTGCGGCTAAAATACACCAAAAGACTCTTGCGACAACATCTTATCAAGCAAACGAGAGTCCAAAAGTGCCAAGTGCTAAACTAAATGGCAGCATATCCCAAGCCAGTGCGGAGTTACGATCGCAAACGGTGGAAAGCATTTGGGAGATCACGGTGTCTTTAAATATATTGTATAAAGAAAACTGGACCAGATTGGCTGCGCAAGAAATAGCACGATTTCAAGAAAAGTTAGTAGCGCGTGTGGCAGCTGATGTGTCATCTCAATATGGTGGCGCTAGAGCATTAGAATCGGCACCAGCATTAGTAGTCGATGACTATGAATGGAACTTTGCTAAAGCATTTCTTTACTCTCTCACTGTCTTAACTACCATAGGTAAGATTTTTCTTTCAAAATCATCATTTATAATGATATAAGTAAATGAAATTTATATGAAGACTAATCCCATACTCTCTTTGCAGGATACGGAAGTGTAGCTCCTAAAACAGCACTAGGGAAGGCAGTTACTATTGGATATGCCGTCATCGGTATTCCGCTTACTCTTCTCTATTTGTCTGTTGTAGGAGCATTATTATCAAGATTAGCCAGAAGCGTATTTAGTAGAGCTTTGTGTTGTTGTCTTTGCACAAAATGTGGATACTGCTGTCTCGACGAAAGAACAATGGCCACCAAGGAACGGAAAGAGAAAGTCAGGAGACATGATGATTATAGGAATCAGACACTGCACCTACAAGAACCATACTACGTCCGGTCTCCGTCTGGCACAATTATATCAGCGTCCCAAGCGCACAGTGTCAGTACGAATTCTATGAAAGACAAAACTCCTGGCCTTGGTTTCCTCAGAGACTGTGATTCTATGAGTTGCACAGATACAGATTCAAAAATTTCACTACGGGGTTTTTCGATCCTCGCTCCGGTTAGTCTTTGCCTCGGCGCTATATTTACATACATCTTCTTTGGTGCCCTCGTTTTATATCAACTCGAAGGCTGGAGTCCCATAGACGGTGTTTATTTCTGCTTCATGAGTCTTAGCACGATAGGTTTCGGTCATTTAGCTCCTGGCGCTACTCAAAAGAACGGGGCGTCGACTGGTACCGTTTGGTTTTGCTCAATTTACATAATGACTGGGCTCGCTTTGACCGCGATGTGCTTCAATGTTCTACACGACGAAATCGTTCATCGCTTGAGGCATCACGAGAAAGGAATCAAGACGAATACTCAAAAGGTACTGACTTCAGAGTTTCTTCATAGGTCTTGACGTGACGATAGCGGGAATTTGACTGACGATACGATGATACATTCTGAAGGGGAATCTTTGCCAGAAGTTCTCAATCATGTTTCTGGTTCGAGGTGTGACGGCGGAGCAATACGTCGTTCTGTTTACACGCTTCGTGAAGAAAAGGAACCAGAGATGACCCCTATGTAATAACTAAACCTAGGCGTTTATTAGTGAGTCTAATGTGCAGAAACTCTTTATGATATAATTTTATTTAGTTAGAAAATATTTTGCAAATAAAACGGTAATATTCCATTTTTGTCAGCATACTAAAATAATCAAATAAAACTTTAAAAATATCACTAAACTCGGCAAATTCATTTTAATCATGCCATTCGTCATTTTAATTGGATCTTGTAAGTTATTTGCGTAACATGTTATTTTTTGTTTTGGTAAATTTTGTAGATAAAAATAGGTGTGATCTAATATTGTAATGGGAATCATAAAAAATACCTAAGAAGTAATGAAATGACTGACCATATTTGTTAATTATTTAAATAGTTATATAATCAGTATCTGTAACGTATAAGAGACCTTTAGTGTATGATATTATAGATAGTAAGTGGTTTAGAAAACAAATTTACAATAGGTACGGATCGAGTTTTAATTATTATTTTCAAAGAAATCATTTCAATTTAATCTCTGAAAATCATGAAAGACACATAAAAGTGTCTACGAAGAAAAGAGTGGCGTTAAAGATAAGAAGCGAAACCCGGACCTATGTAGAAGAAGATCATGTAAAACCGTGAATGTAGGTAGCATGATGAATGAATTTGTTTAGAGCTGTGTTTTTGAGTGTCAAAAAATTAGCAAAGATTTAATCTTTGTCATTTAGTAGGTAATAGATCTTTTATGAAGAATGTAAAAAGGTGTGTACAATAAAATTGTAAAGTAAACATTGTTAATCCTCAAAAAGTGTTCCGGTCTTTTTTTGTAATATTTAACTTGGCATAAAAACATTATACTTCTGTTTTTTTTTATTTTTGAAGCATGTAACTGCTTGATGTTTAAAACTAAAGAAAATATAACTAGAAAAAATCCACGCGAACCAGGCAGCAGACGGGACTCGAACCCGCACCCTTCGCTATCTGGGCGAATGCACTGAACAATTATGCTACCGCGGCCCTGATGGCCACGTCGGAATTCTTCTACACTTCCATAATACACTTCTTTATTTGTGTAGTCGTGTAAAAATCTCAAATAATGTATGGGGCTTTACAATGATTAAATATTTGTGCAGAATATATTTTCATTTCATGAAAGATTGTAATTTGATTCTAAAACGTGGTTTAAATCAGCATATTTACATACTACATGAATCAGCTTATTGTACCAGTCATTATTTTTAAAGATTTTTATTTTCATAACAATTTTAATCTTACCTATTTGAAACAGTTGTTAGTACAGGGTTTGCAAGGTTTGAGCTTACTTTTGATTTTATCTATGTCCAAAAAAATTATTTGATTTCAAAATATATAGTTTTCTATTACAAAATGAGATGTTTTCAGCTAACTTAATATTATTCTGCTAATTTCGTGATGTAGTAGGCTACAATTTTGGTTACATTCTGAAAGAAGTTTTAGCATTTGTAAGCTTACTTATACTTTAACGAAAGAAGGTTTGTATCACACACGGTCCAACGTTCTCTTAGTAGCAGCCTAGCAAACAGAAAAGAAATAAATATTAAAACTGAACAAGACCGATGATTATGGAACCCACACCATACTCAATGAAATGTTATTATTTAAAAAAGTGGTAAAAAAGAACAAGACAATGATATACTTAAATGGTAAATGTGAAATTGTGTATGTTTGGTTAAATAAGATACATAACACAAAATTGACAGTACAATCTCATGTATTTTTTTATCTAGCTCGGCGGTCGCACTAGGATTGTCAACTTTGACTTATGCACAAAAAATATCGTGGTGCCATTAGCACTCGTATCTACTCGTAGTTGTTTGATTTATTGTCGAGATTAAAACAGAAGACGGGAAATATAAACCCATCATAAATATTTCAATTTTGATGTTGTTTTTATATTGAGAATTAAATAAAAACGACAGTTCACCCTTTAATTTTAAATTTAAACTACCACAGTAAATTCAAAGGATTTTTTCAGGGAATTCAAGCGGATGGAACTCTCCCTTGCAGTGGTCCTAACTGGTCCGAGATATCGTGTCCGTCCGTGTCTATGTGTGCGTTGCACGAGCGCATTGTACTATCCATTTTGTGTTACATAATGAGACTAGTTTACAATATGCCAAATTAAAATTGTGTAAGTATGTACACTGTACACATAGTTTTATCGTGTTAACTATGTACGTATTAATGAATATCATGTATGATAACCGTGAAGTTCTTGAAGAACTTAAGTGTTTTCGTATGCTCAAAATGTGTAAAAAAATACCCAAATGAAAGTATATTATGTTAGGCATAGATATTTATATGAATTAGGGAATTTGTCACGACCCCAACACGGCATTGAAGTTATTGTTACTTTTGAGAAACATAAATAGCCTCTTATGAATGAAGAAAGAAAGTTGTATTGTATACATACATATTTCAAATGTTTTGTTCGCCAAACAATGGAAGCATATTAAGTCAGTGAAAACGTAGGAGCTGTATATTTTAACAATCGATAAAATCTATGTGTAGCGTAAGTCGTCTTCTCGTGTCCTTTTTTTTCATGTCTGGAAAACGCGTGTAAAACCATACAATACTCCTGCACCGGCTACTCGATACGCACTCCGAGGACCGAGGTACTCCCAATGCGTGTCGAGAGTGCGGGCAAAGCTGTGGTGGTACCCCGCTAGGACTGGCCACATACTCGCCCGCTGGCAATTGTCCGCCAGCGGCTTTGCGAAAAAAAGATTTTTCCGTTACGAAACAAGTGACGGTTGTGACCGTCACTTGTTTCGTAACGTATTTTGTGTAGTTGTGTACTTATACTTATGTTTATTTTCAACTTCGTTCAAACCGAGTGTTCCATGACACTCACGTTTGCTTTTTTTTTCTCACTTGTATTTGCTGTTGCGACTAAAATGGAGTACGTAGTACGAGTACTCTAGTAGAAGTTGTTTCAATTACTAAGCCCATTAACATGCAGTTAATATTTACATCAACAATAACTTCATGCTGTGATTTTTGGAATTGTCATAAGAAACTTATTCTTAAAAAGAATTGTAATTAGATGTTGGTTCGTACCAAGTGTGAATTTTTACATCGGATAAATTATTATGTTTTTTTTTGTAATGGTCCTAACCAGTGTAAAGTAATCTTAATGAATGATAGATGAATAAATGATTTTAATTAAACAACGTATGTGTTATCATTTTGAGCACTTTATTTTATTGTAACTGTGGTAATAAAAAATACTCGTAAGTAACTGAAATAAATCAGATGCAATTCAATTTAGTTTGCATTTCTTCAGTTTTTAAACTTATGTTTTTATTTTTTAAGCATTTAACTGCTAGATTTTTTAATCTAAAGAAAAGTTTACTAGAAAAGACTCCACGCGGACCAGGCAGCAGGCGGGACTCGAAGTCCAGGCAGTCCCGTCTGCTGCCTGGTCCGCGTGGAGTTTTTTCTAGTTAACTTTTCTTTAGATTATAGATATTAACGGGATTGTTACCATGTACCTTGTTTTTTATGAGTCTCCGATATTTCGGCACTGTTGCAAGCGCCATGATCACGGAGTAACTGAAGTAATTGCGGGTAGATGTTATTGGCAGACATATCGGTCTACCCTCTGACGTCGTCTTTTACTGCGTTCGATACTACCACTACCATTGGTCACATTCTCACTATTCACTCGCATTTGTTCCCGGCACACAATACTCACAGTATCAGATCGCGGAACGACACTTTTTTGATTTTTGCGGTTTTTACACATACGAACCACTGGATTCCACACACTAGACAATTTAAACCCATCCTCACGATTGAAATTCTTGTGTTTGGCTATTTCATTCGCTTCCCTGACCAATCTTGGTATGTAGTGGCGTTCTGTCGAGATAATTTGTGGCTTATGGAGCTCAATCCAGTGATTAGGACCCGAATCAATTAAATGTTCCGCGATGGCTGATTTTTGCGTATCATTATTTCTGACTGCTTTAATGTGTTCTTTCATTCGGCACGCTATTGTCCGCTTCGTTTGGCCAATATAAGAACTACCACAGCTGCAGTCGATCTTGTATACACCAGGTTTCTCCAAGGGGAAGTTATCTTTAGGAGACCGTAGAATCTGTGATACTTTTTGTAAATTAAGTATGTTAGAGATCTTGTCTGCCACTCCTTTGACATATGGCAAAAATAGTGGTTGCCTGTCTACTTTGTGTTTCTGGTGTCTTAATTTGTGTTTGTTTCTTTAGATGTACCCCTTTATTAATAAAGATAGAATAAGCTTAGATTAGTTACTCTATTTGTTTCTTAGGTTTTCACGCACACCACTCATTAAATAAAACAAGTTTCAACGGTGAAGACTACGCAGGACTCGCAGTGAAAAAAATACGGAAATTTTGGATAATAACCAAATAATATTTTTGGAGTTTACTCCTTAAGAATCGTTTTGCATATATAAGAGGCCCGGTATGAGAAAAATGTAAGGAGTAAAATCTATCGATGAATGACCTCGTTACGTTTTTGGTGCGCATCCTATGTCGCGCAACTTTGACAAACAAAGATGACGGATTGACATTAATAAGCTCCCACCTCCTACATAAGAAGCTTAACTAAAAAAAATTAAAATTACTATAAAAAATAAATACAATTTGCGCACCGTTAACACGCCCCACCCCAGTGCGTGCGCCTAGCAGCACTCATTAGTCAATGAGATTCGTGCGAGGCGTGTGATGGACCTTGTAAGCATGCCGCATTCTGACTCGGCCGTCTTTCCCAGGGAAAATCTCTTGAACCACATGTTTCTGGGTCCATAAGAGTCCTCTATGATTACCCAATCTCCCACTTGTAAAGATCACTCCTCACGGTTCCATATTTTACGAAGTATAAATTGTGGTATGTTGGGTGATGGCGGCAGGTTATAATAAATACAAAGACGTAGATAGGTTGGTGTCCATTTATTGAAGAAGGCTTAATGGTACAAAACATACTTATTTATAATATTAGTGCACTACGTAGTTACACACACACACACTTATAAAATATAACACACAATATTATTACAAAACATCAGCATTTCACGTGGCCTACTTTCGTGTCATTCAATGTTGCGTTGTATTATTAATACATATTTATTAAATTATTTTCATACTATCACACGCCCCCCAAAAATCTCCATTACACCCCTCTCCTCAAAAAGAAAAAAAAAGTGTTACATTTTTTTTTTCAACCACATACATTCAGCTAAATATTATCATTATAAAGTTTCGTATTATTCTTATGTACTACGTACTCTCTATTATTTTTTAATATCTTTACATTAGGTGACAATTCCTCTATTACTTCATAAGGGCCGTTATACACTCTATCTAACTTATCTCTTATTTGATTTTTTACCAAAATTAAATCTCCTTTTTTATATGTTATCGGGTAACTATTTTTATCAAATGTAGTTTTTCTACATAATTTATTAGTTAATAAATTTTTTCGCGCATCACACAGTGCTCTTTGTAGTCTATGTCGAAGTTCCTTAGGATAGTCATCATAGTTATATAAGGGAGTTACAGAGTCACTTAAGTTACTAGGTAAAATACAATTTTTTCCAAACACTAGCTCGTAGGGAGTATATTTTGTTTGCGTGTGTACCGAGGTGTTGAATGAGAAACACCAGTACGGAACCCAACTACTCCAATTGCTTTTGTGACTCTCACATTGTATTCTTAGAAAAGTGCCGAGATGTTTGTGAGTATTTTCTAACGATCCCATAGTTTCATGGTGATATGCAGTGGACTGTAATTTTTTAATACCTAATAAGCTACATATTTCGGTCATAATTTCGTTAAGAAATTCTGTTCCCTGGTCTGTAATTATTTCTTTTGGGATTCCATATCTAAGGATAAAATTATTTACAAAAGCTCTCGCTACCGATTCGGCGTCTTTGCGCTGCAAGGGATAGGCTTCAACGAACTTTGTTAGGTCGCACTGTAGAGTTAGTATGTACCTATGATTGTAATCGTCAACTTGTAAAGGTCCCATTATATCTAAACTAATTCTTTCGAAAGACGAATTAGGGGTAGTCGTTAATGACATAGGTTCCTTAATGTATCTATTGGTGTATTTATTTATTTGACAAAGCTTACATTTATTGACATAATTAACGACATCCTTTGTAATGCCTGGCCAAAAATAGTATTTTTTAATATTGTTTAGCATTCTATTTATCCCAGCATGCCCACTGGTGGGCAACAAGTGGAAGTCATTTAATATAACTATCTTTTCGTCCTCATTTCTGATACGCTTAACATCTTTAGTTATCAATAATCGCGGCCGACTCAACTTTAGTTTTTTAATTGTACTTGCAAGTAACTTAATATGTCCTTCATATATTTTATTTTTGATAATAAGCAATTCTAAGATATTTAACTTACTACAAAAACTCTCTAAATCTCTCGCTAACGCTTCTACAGCTGATAGCGATCGAGCATTTAGATAAATTATTGACCGCTTTGGTACATATACACAATATCCACTTGAGGACGTAAAAACTTCGTCGTTTCCGTCATATTTGACCGAGTGACTAAAACATAATTCGATAATATCCGGTGGTGGCTTGAGAATTTCCACGGCCAAGGGGTGATCAGTCCCATGACTATGCAAATTTTCAGGCTTACTATAATTCTCTAAGTCACAGTTTTTATTACGACTATTTTTTTTTGTTTGTGCTCTAGTAAGTACTGATACTAAGTGTTCACGCATATTTTTTAAATCATCAGATGTCACCGGGATGCGACTCAATGCGTCTGCAGCCGCGTTGTGTCGTCCTGGGACATAGCCTATCTCAAAATCATATTCCTCTAAATATAAACGAAATTTAGTTTGCCTACTGGAAGGATCTGTCATAGAAAATAAATAAATAAGAGGCTTGTGATCGGTTAGAATTTGGAATTTCCTACCATATAAATAAGGTCGAAAATGCCTCACTGCCCAAACTATGGCTAATAGCTCCAAGTCTATAATCGGATATCGCGTCTCAGCGGGCTTTAAACTTCTACTTGCGTATGCAATAACTCTATCATTCCCATTGGATAATATTGCACCTAAACCTGTTCTTGAGGCATCAGTCTGCAATTTAAAAATATTATTTTCAGAAAAATCGGGATAATCCAAAACTGGGGGTTTTATTAAAGCAGATTTTAATTTTTTGAATGCTTCGTCACAATCAGCTGTCCAATTAAATGCAACATTCTTTTTACAAAGTCTATTTAGTGGATGTGCAATTTCAGCGAAATGTAAAATAAATCGTCTATAATAGTTAGCGAAGGCCACGAATCTTCGGACCTCGTCAACGTTAGTCGGTGTCGGATAACTTTGCAAGGTTGTTATTTTGCTTGGATCAGGAAATATGCCTTTACTTGTTATTTTATGTCCTAAGTATACTATCTCTGTTCGTAAAAATTCACATTTTAAAGGGTTTAGTTTTAAATTAACTTTTCTTAAGCGTTCTAACACAGAAATTAGGTTTTTATTATGATTTTCTATACAATTTCCTATAACGATACAATCGTCTAAATAAATAAAACATTGATTATAATTCAATCCAGACATAGCTATAGTCATCAATCGAGAAAATACGCTAGGACTAGTTTTAAGTCCCATCGGACAACGCTTCATTTGGTATATTTTATCAGCTGTGAAAGCGGTGCACTTACGTGAATCGGGATGAAGGGATAATTGGTACATTCTATCTAAATGGAAAGCAGTGTATTTTCTTGAATTTTCATTTAAATTTAATTGATAATAACTTTGGGACAAATCTAATTTTGAAAAATACATAGAATGTGATAAGGAATCTAAAATATCTGTAATATTGGGAAGTGGAAATTTATCATCTTGAATTCTATTATTTAATTGCCTATAGTCAACGACAAACCTATACTTCTTTTCATTATTTTTGTCGGTCTTTTTCGGAACAAGCAAGACGGGACTAGACCACTCCGAGGTGGATTCCTCAATAATATCGTTGTCTAACATATCCTGTATTTGTTTACGTAACTCTGGTTTTAAAGAGTGTGGTATTCTGTAGGGTTTTATATAAACAGGAGTCGCATTATCCTTTAAAGTAATTTTATGCTCCATTAAATTAGTGACTGACAGTTTATCACCTGGGAGA